CCCATAGCAGGGGCTCTTGGGCCGTTCTGCGGCAATCTTGTGGGCCTCTTGGGCCGCCGTGTTGGACGCTGTGACCGACAAGTCCAAGAGGGCAGCCCATGCAGAACCTAAACGAAACTTTGTAGGTGTTTCATATTGTTTGGTTATCAATCTGTTTGCCTCTCGGGCCAGCCCCAGGGGTTCCCAAGATGACCCAAGACGCTCTTGTGCCGACTCGTGACCCTCTTGTTCCCTGAGGACCTTTTTGGCCCGTCTCGGCGCTCTCTGGCCTCCGACAAGGTCACGCGACACACACACATACCCCAGGAGTCACGTGACCTCACGCGTGAAGCCCCACTGAATCAAGCAATTGGAGCTCTGGGTCTATCAGTATACAGAGTGGTAGTGTTGAGGTACTCAGGTGGACCAGAGGACCCTCCGCTCAGTGCCTGCGGCACGGTGGATCCATTCTCTGACTGTCGACGTGTCCATCCAGTGTTGCGCGTTGGCCTGTCCTGGGGGTATCTTTCGGCCATTGTGAGGCCGTGTGGGGAGCCTGTTGGATCGTCCTCTGGCCCTCTTGGGCTCTTGTGCCGTCTCGGGCCCCGCGTGGCCGTCTGGGGGTCCCTTGGGACGGTCTGGAGGCCGTATCTTTTACGATTCGTATGCCCCGCCAGCCTATCCAGCAACGATGCCGCGGTGGAGCAAATAGCTGGGGAAGCCGTCAAACCAAAGTTTGGGATCGGATGTGTCTTCGCGGGCCTGTCGAACGAGAAAGGGCCGATGACAAGAATGAGGAGGTGGGAGGAGGAGGGCGAGGAGGATGATGAGGAGGAGGAGGAGGACGAGGAGGAGGAGGAGGACGAGGAAGGATTTGATGCATGAGTGGATGAGCAGGACGAGGAGGAAGGCGAGCAGAAGGATGACGAGCTTCATTGGACACGCTCTTCTTCAACTTCTGGTTAACCCTTGTCGGGAGGAGGAGGAGGAGGAGGAGGAGGAGGAGGAGGAGGAGGAGGAGGAGGATGAGGAGGAGGAGGAGGAGGAGGAGGAGGAGGAGGAGGAGGAGTGCAGCGACTTCCGTTGTCAGCGTCGGAGCTTGTGCTTTCGATCGAATGAACGAGTTGCCTTGTAACTGGCCCTCGCGCCCCCGTTTCTCCCATGGCGGTGTGGAAGGAAAGGAAGATGAGCAGGACGGGAGGAGAAGCTGGAAGATGAAGAAGGGAAGGGAAAGGAGGCGTGTAGAAGAGGGGCAGCAGCTTTGTCGGACGAGCTTGCTCGCCTTGTGCCAATTTGTGGCGGATGGACTGGTTTGTCTCTACCACTACGAGATGACCGGCAAGACGTTCATTGGCAGCGCGAACATCGGCTTGAAGCGGTTTGTGGAGAAGGCCACGGGTTCCTCGCCTCCTCGCTTTCTCTTCCTCCTCCTCCTGATGTGCCTCCTCCCTCCTGCTCCTCCTTCCTGCTCCTCCCTCCTGCTCCTTCATCCGCCCCTGCTGCTGCTGCTCCTCCCCTCCCTTGAGGTGGCCAGGGACTCCGACGCGCAGACAATCGGCCCGCACGACCTCAAGTTCACAAACGTGGAGAGCGGTGGCGAGCACGAGGCCGTCGGCACCGTGACCATGACGATGTACGTGCTCACGCAGGGCGAGGCGTCCGCCAGGAAGGTGGGCTGGCAGCGCGAGGAGCCGAACGAGGACCCGCAGCTGATCACGCCCACCGAGGGCCGCGACTGGGGTGCCAAGGGTGTTCGCGGTTCGGTCGGTTCGGCTGCGCCGCAGTCGGTTGCGTTCGTTTGCTTCGTTTCGGTTCCTGTCGACTTCGGTCGGTTTGGGCTTCACTATCGGTTCGCCTGGTCGTCGGTTTTGCTGTCGCCGTGCACGGCCTGGGGTGCTCGGCGGGCCGCACAGGGGCTGGCGCGAGGGGGCGGCCTTCTGAGGAGGCGGGGGGGGGGGGCTTGCCGAAAGGCAGGCCCACCCAGAGGGGCTTTGGGGGTGCACGAAGAGCAGCACCCGCTGATGCACAGCGCGTGAACTTCGGAGGCCCGCGCGGATTTTCGGGCGGGCGCTGGACCACCCGCCCCCGCAGCGCGCCGGACGCCAGTGGCAGCGCCGCCCTGGCGCCGCCCCGGCGCGCTCCGTGCGCCGGGGAGTGGGGGTCTCCAGGGCCGACCCAAGGGATCTGCGCGGACCTCCGAACGTTTGTCCATGCTGCCTTTTGGTCTTCCAGGTACGTACCTGGAGGCATTCGGCTTCGAGTGGCCCGACTTCAGCGGCATGTGGAAGAAGATGCTGCCCATGGTCGCGGTGGCGGGCGCGTTCCTTCTGGCGCTCGTCATGCTTAAGCTGATTGGAATCTTCTGATTGTTTCTGTCCCTTTGGAGGCATTCGGCTTCGCGTGGCCCGGCTTCGGCGGCATGTGGAAGAAGTTGCTGCACATGGTCGCGCTGGTTGTCGCGCTTTTTCTGGCGCTTGTTACGCTCAAGCTGATAGGCATCTTCTGAACGTTTCCTTTTTAGCAGCGGCAGGTTCGCGCCGCATTGACGCGGCGGCGACCCCAGGGCATACAAGGGTGATCTTCGCTAGTGGCCTGAATTTGGCCGATCTCGAGCGGTTCGCGCGATCGAGCAGCCGCGATCTTTCAAGGTTGAACGATCCGCGCGGTGTCGGAAACCACCGATGGCCTCGTCAAGACACGAACCTGGCGTACAGCGTCGCCCAGCTGTCTGTGCCAATTCGCTACAAAGCTTTCAGGCTGCATACAGTATGCTTGCGGCTTCGCCTGGCCGCGGGGCACCAACTGGCCAGGCGAGGACTGTCCGTAATCCAGCACCGCTTCATTGATGTAGCATGGCATGTACTATTGTCTCACATGTTGCCGTTTGTGTTCAGTCGTTCATTTTCCTACGCGTCTCCAGCGCCATCCACGCCGAGGGAACAGAGCGTCGTACGGTGATGTGACTTGGCGGCGCAGCTTCTGACCGACAGCATGTTGCCGCACGTCGCAACCGGTGTGCGCAGTTGGATTCGGAAGCCTTCGTCGCATTGACGTCGTCGTTATCGCTGGCGTTCATCGCTAATATGTCATGTCTGAGGGAAGGACAAGAAGGAAGTGTGGGGAGCGGGGTCAAGAAGAAGATGAAAACGAAGTAATAACAAAAACAATAATAATAAAAATAATAAGAATACTAAGACGAATAAGAAGAAACATAATAATAATAAGAATAATAATCATAATAATTATAATATTAATAATAATAATAATAATAATGATAATAATAATACTACGAATAATAATAATAATAATAATAATACTAATGATAATGATAATGATAATGATAATGATAATGATAGTGATAATGATAATGATAATGATAATGATAATGATAATAATAATAATAATAATAATAATAATAATAAGAATAATAATAATAATAATAATAATATTAACAAGAATAATATTAATAATAATAATAATAATAATAATAATAATGATAATAATAATAATAATAATAATAATAATAATAATAATAATAATAATAATAATAATAATAATAATATCAATAATAACAATAATAATAATAATAATAAGAATAAGACGAATAATAAGAAGAAGACCATGCTGGATTTTTGGCTGGAGCTCCGCACAGAAGCCCAGAGAGCGACGACAGAGCAGCGATCCGACGTTGGACGTTGTGTCATTCGGCAGGGAGCAGGAGGGGACCCTTCGACCGCAGCGGCCACCGACGAGGAGCAGCCAATGGCCAAGACCCTGAAAGGTGGCCTCTCTTGGGTCCTGTAGGGGCCCTGGTTTTCGGGCCGCCCCTTGGGCTTGCGCCGTGTGGAGCCAGTTCGTGGCCGAGGCTCGCCGAGGCCAGCAAAGCCCCTCCGCTGCTCGGGGTGCTCAGCGCTGCCTGTGTTGACACGGTGACTGCACGGCCCCCCGCGACAGCACGGCGCACGGTGCCTCAGAGGAGGGACCGTGCGGGGCCGGCGCGGCTCGGCGGGCACGTCCCGGCACCGACATCCAGCCCGGCGGCGGCGGCGTAGCACCGGGCCCACGGCACGCGCGCGGCACGCAGCGGCGCGCAGCGGCACGCGCACGGGCAGCCATCCCGAGGCCACGCGTGGCATCGCTCGGCCCCGGCAGGGCCCGTTGCGGCCTGGTCGGTTGGATTCCACGTCGGTCTCGACGGGGCCGATCCGCCTTGGCTCCGACACTGCCGGCGCCGCTGTCCCGAGTCCTGGCGTGGCCGATCCCATTCGACTGCGGCAGCGCGCTGGTGCGGCCCGACCGCCCGATGCGATGCGAGCTGGCCCTGCCCGGGGCCCGCCGCCCACAGAGCAGCGCCCTGCCTCTGTGCCGATTCTCTCGGATCCGCAGCTTGGCATCGCTCGGACGTGTGCTTGTTGGGGAGGAGGAGTGGGAGGAGGAGGAGGAGAGGGAGGAGGAGGAGGATGATGATGAGGAGGAGGAGTGGGAGGAGGAGGAGGAGGAGGAGGAGGAGGAGGAGGAGGAGGAGGAGGAGGAGGAGGAGGAGGAGGAGGAGGAGGAGGAGGAGGAGGAGGAGGAGGAGGAGGAGGAGGAGGAGGAGGAGGATATTGGGATGCAGCTCCTGGGAGATCAAGTGCAGCATCGGCGCTGGCACCTCCGTGGTCGAAAAAACCGACCTCGCGCGGCCCGGTCCCGTGGAGTTCCGCCGAATCCTGATAGATCCTGCAGGAGGACGAGGAGAGGGGGAGGAGGAGGAGGAGGAGGAGGAAGAATAGGAGGAGGAGGAGGACCAGACGGAGGAGGAGGCGGCGGAGGAGGAGGACGAGGTGCAGGATGAATACTATAATACTATAATCTTAATACGGAGCAAGAGGAGTAATACGAGTAATCAGAGTAAGGCGAGTAATAATCGAACCATCAAGATTACAATCTGCAAAAGCATGAAACGAATCAGCGTACAAGAAACATAGTAATAAGCAGGAGCATAAGCGCAACATACGGAACATTACAATACTAATACGCGTATGAAGAACAACACACAGACAACACACTTAACAATGCTTCTGTGAACCATCAAATGAAGTAATACTAGTACGAACAGTATTGTTAAGGAAACAACACCAACACTAATAATAATGCCAATGAGTTGCATCATGCCAATAATATTTGTAAGCGTACGAATAATAGTAATAGCCATACTAGGAGGAGGAAGAGGAGGAGGAGGAGGAGGAGGAGGAGGAGGAGGAGGAGGAGGAGGAGGAGGAGGAGGTGATACAGGAGGCCTCCTCCGCATCCTCACCGTTGATTTCCCGGCTCCCTCCACACTAATCCAGCACAGTGGCCCTTTTCATCGGGCTTGAATGTAGTGGCCTCCAGCCAGTGCTTCCGATCCTGGAAGCTCTCGATGTCCTTCGGTTTGTCGTGGGCTAGCCGTTGGGCCAGGGTTTGGCTGGCACCTGTCTTGTGGCATGGCTGTCCCTGGGCTTAAATATCATACGAATAACATATTAGCCAGCATGGGCCCCAAACAGTGTAGTGGCATCCTCTGCGGCGTGATGAGTACGATGCAGCCTGCGCAATACAATCTTTGCAGTGCAATCCATGCAGTGCCAATTAGTGTGGGGCAATCACCGCAATGCAATCGATGCGGTACAATCTTAAGTCGCACCACGTTGATTACACCGTTTTATTATATGCAATGCTATGCTATGCTATGCTATGCCCTTCTGTGCTAAGTTGTTCAAGGGCCTCACGCCATTCCGCCGACCCCCATGAGAAAGACGACATCGAAGGGGGAGGCCTTTTTGGTGCCTCTTGTATGCGTCCTGGGCGCGCCTGCGGGCTGTCGCTGGCAGTGTGGGGGGTCCTGTTTTGGCGGCGTGCTCGGAAGTTTCTTGTTTTGAGAATATAAAATAGTATTAACCGTACATATGTAATACGTAACATAACAGAGGACCACATATCGCACTGCAAACCCAAGGAACGACCAAAAGCTCTCCAACATGGAAGTGTACTATTTCCTCGAGGCGGCGGCTCGATTTCAGGGAAGATACAAGGAGAATAATGGAGTGTCTGACTGCTCCCGCAGCGCGCGTTCTGCGCACTCCAGCCGGTTCGCTAACCCGAGACAGGGGCCAGCTGAGGCGAGGCGGATAACGAGCAAAGGATGGAGGAGCAGGCGGGAGGAGGACCAGGCTGCGGAAGTGCCGGGGAGCTGGGGCGGCGAGAAGGAGGAGGATCAAGGGGAGCGCTGTGCATCTTTGAGCGCGTGCAGCTGTTCAGCTCCTGGCCAGGAGGTTTTCAGCAAGCCTGTTCGGATGTTTCGGTTCGCTGTGTGTGTGTGACGCGAGAAGCGGAGCAGGAGAGATGATACGGGAGTCCCCCGAGAGTTGCCGTTGATGACATCTCCGATTCTTCCCTGGCCCCGGCCTCGCCTCGGGCTCGTATAGCTGGCCGCGAGCGCGCCTCCGCTCCCGCGGCCAGGGTCGCCGCGGCGATGGTGGGCGGAGGCCCAGCCACGCGCAGCGGGGGGTAGGGGCAGGGGGGGAGTCTCCTCAGAAGCACGCCTGCTGCTTCTCGGAAGGCGCGGGCCATGTCTACAGATGAAGGGCCGGCGCCTTCTGAGAAGCCGTCCCCCCTCCTCGCCAGGAGGGAAGCGGGTCCTGAGGTTTCTCACCGTCTTTGGCCTCCTGGGGTCCCCCGCGGGCCACGGGACCGTCAGGACACGATTCCGGAGGAACGCGCCGTCCTGGGGGGCAGGTCTCCGGGCTCCAGGACCCGCTTCCCTCGGGACCCGTCTCCCCCTGAGCTGACCTCCCCCTTCTCCCCCTCTGCGCGCCGCCGAGAGTCAGGAGGAAAAGAAACACACAGACACAATTAATCCTCGATTCCCCAGAAAATGCAGGAAACTATGGGAAGTGGGGGGGGGAAGACAAAAACCCAGAAAAGATAGGAAAATATGGGGAATCTTTTATTGTGTATTTATTTGTGTGTATTTATTTGTGTGCCCTGGGGCCCCTTCAGAGAGGCCTGCCCGGCGCGCTGGCGCGCTCGTCGCTGCGGGCGCTGCGGGCGCGGCCGCGGGCCGCCCTCGCGCTGCTCGCCGCGCTGGCGGCGCTGTGCCGCCGCCTGCGGCGCGCGGCGCTCGCCCGCCGGCGAGGCGCGGCGCGGGGGCTGTGCGGCGCCGTCGAGGAGCGGTGCGGCGGCTGTCAGGAGGGAAAAAAACACACAGACACAATTAATCGTCGACTCCCACGAAAATATGGAAAATATGGGAAGTGGAGGGGAAGACAGAAACCCAGAAAATGTGGGAAAATATGGGGGATATTTTTATTTGTGTGTATTTATTTGTGTGTCCTGGGGCCCCTTC